GTGAGAGCCCGGCTGGGAGCCTGGCTGAATTCCTCGGGCACCACCTCCGCGCTCAGACCTGCTTTCCACAGAAACGTGGGCTCGCGTCTCAGACAGGATTAATCTGCCCCCCTTCCCCCCCAGCTTATTCCCATCATTCAGGACGTATAGAGCACCTACTGCGTGGCAGCTCTTACAGGAGCTGGACTGGGGGGGAGGGGGGGGCGGGGAGTCGTCAAATCAATTTGGTGGGTCAGAGCCAGACATTTTTTTTTTAAAAAAAAGTGAAATAAATCAGACTCTAGCACAGCAATTCTCAACCTTCCCCACGCCGCGGCCCTTTCATACAGCTCCTCATGTTGTGGGGACCCCCAACCATACAATTATTTCCGTGGCTACTTCATCGCTGTCATATTGCTACTGTTATGCATCGTCATGGAAATACCTGATCTGCAGGATGTATTTTCATGGTGACAAATGGAACATCGTGAAAGCATAGTGATTCATCACAAAAACAATATGTCATGATAGACGTGTTTTCCGATGGTCTTAGGCGACCCCCGTGAAAGGGTCGTGCGACCCCCAAAGGGGCCGCGACCCGCAGGTTGAGAACCGCTGCTCTAGCAGAATGTAATAGCAAGTGTCCAAGCGCATAACAGGGAGGAGAAGGTCATGTACCGGGAAACTGGGGGAGAGAGAGAGAGAGAGAGAGGGAGAGCCGTCCTGGTCCCCCAAGTTCTGGTGCAAAATCCTGTCCCCCGCAGGTCCCAGTAAAACCGCCCCTAAAGGCCCGGCCGGGGAGAAGGACCCCAGCCTCGAAGGCCTCGCTCTGCTTTCCGACAAAGTCACTCTATAAACAAAAGGAAAAGGAATTCCTCCGAGCGGGAAAGCCACCCCCTCGCTCTATATTTAACTCTAAGCTGTTCCGAATTCTCCGTTTCCTCCTCCGAAAAAAGGCCCCCGTGGCGTCCCTTCTTTCAAGGAGAGCCAACGGGAACAAGGTCAAGGTCACCTTCCTCACTGCAAGTAAAGTCTCCTTCCATCACCATTTATCCCTCCCTATCCTCCTCTCCCTCCCCCCACTCTGTCATCCCACCAGACCGCCCCCCGGGCCTGTGCCCTTGACCGGAATCGAACCCGGCAGCCTCAGCTTTTCAAATCCCACGGAAGACGGGTCCAGGCACCCACAAGGGCACCGATGATGAATGAGGCCTGACTACGTCCTTCCCAGAGGTGTTTACGTTTTAGCCAAAGATTAACCCGCGCGCCCTGTAACAGAATCCCGGAGGACCCGGCCACGGGGAGGCGGAGAGGGAGCTTCGGAGAGGGAGAGCGTGCTCCCAGCTTTCCCACGGCCCCCACCTGTGGCTCCGTGTCCGTGTCCTTCCCCACATCCCCTTTTAAACAGAAAATCCAGAGGCACGCTTTCTAACCCTGCGGATTTGTGAAATACAGTTTCAGCATCTTTATCTTTTTAAAAAAAAAATATATATATAGTTATTTATGAAACTGTCTTGTCAGACCATCCGTGAGAGGAAATACTTCGTCTTACTCAACTCCGCATTCATCTTACGCCCCTCTCCCTGCCT